GGGAGTCTGCTTCTCCCTCTGACCCTCCTCCCTCTCATGTTCTCTGTCTCTCATTCTCTCTCTCACAAATAAATAAAATCTTAAAAAAAAAAAATTTTTTTTTAAAGTTATACTGGTTATTTGAAAGTACTGAGTGACTTTTTAATTTTTTTTAAGCTCAAGAGAATATTGTAAAGAAAATGAGATTATGGCTAAGGGGAGGGCTTACAACTTTCAAGAAAGTCATATATATAATATATATATATTATATGTATAGATGCATAACATATGCATATATAATATATATGTATTATAAAATATAATGCTTGGCAAAAGGTTGTTTATAAATTAACATTTTGAAAAGTGAAATATTTCAAACATTCTGTTGTATATATATACAATGGAATATTATGCAGCCACCAAAAAAAGAAATCTTGCCATTTGCAACTACGTGGATGGAACTAGAGGGTATTATGCTAAGCAAAATAACTCAACCAGAGAAAGACAATTATCATATGATCTCACTTGATATGAGGAATTTGAAAAACAAGACAGAGGATCATAGGGGAAGGGAGGGAAAAATGAAACAAGATAAAACTAGAGAGGGAGGTAAACCATAAGAGACTCTTAATCTCAGGAAACAAACTGAGGGTTGCTGGAGTGGAGGGGGTGGGAGGGATGGGGTGGCTGGGCGATGGACATTGGGGAGGGTATGTACAATGGTGAGCGCTGTGAATTATGTGAGACTGATGAATCACAGACCGTACCCCTGAAACAAATAATGTATTATATGTTAATTTAAAAAAAGAAAAAAAAAAGCAACTCTATGATAATCAACATCCACTGGAAGTGTTTTCCAAGCATGAGGTGCTAAAAGGGATAATTAGAAAATGTATGTCTGTTGTAATTTAGAATGCAGAGCCAGATTATGATTTTTAAATCTGGTTCCACCACTTACTGTGGGGGGGGCAATAGTATACCTAAACATATTAGGATGAGCTAGGTTACCACCCAGTAAAACTTAGCCCCCCAAATCAGCTTACACAATAACTTTTACTTCTCACTCATACAAAGCTTATATTGGTTCACTCAGATCTGCAGGGCAGCCATGATCCTTCAGTTGGCCCAAATTCAAGGCTGCTTGAATCTTATACCATCTTCACATTGGTAAGGGCCTCCATCCCATCATAGCAGGGGCAGAGAAAGCATGGTAAATCCAGGCATCAGGTCTTACAGGCTTCCCTCTTTTATTTTATGACAATATTGATTATTGTGAAGTAGGCAGAAAAGAAAATTAAGATAAAGTTAACCTGATTTTAAAACTGTATCTAATTTTAGAACTTGAAAGTGCCTAAAAATACTCCCATCAAGCCCCCTTATTTTACAGATGTGGAAACAGACACAGAAACAGAAGAGAAAGTATAATAATTTTTGCCTAAGATTACAGAGCCAGCAATAGCAGGGTCTGAAGTTCACATTCAGAAATCCTTCCTAGCTCCCTACTGACTGCAATTCTACCACCAACCTTTGGAAGTGTGCTAACATTCTTGCCTCTTCTGTCATATCCTAGAGACCAGGGCAACAAAGCGGTTAGGTGTCTCTTTTCCAAATTTATATTGTATGGAAAACCCCAAACTGATGGTAATAATAGAGGAAATGTCTCCAGGCCTCAAATGATATTGCAACAGTTATTATCAATTTCTACTAATTGTATTTTAACAGTGTCATATTTATTGTCCAATTCAACTGAAAATCCAGGATTAAATAACATATTGAAAAGAATTTTTTTTTTGCTTATAGGAGGAAAGAATAGGTCTCAGAAAAGACACAGAAGAGCATACCACAGAACTTCGAAAATGATTTTAAAAAGAAAGTCCCGTTTATCATTTTGTGCTTTCTGAAGCAACATTATTTTAACATGAATTTATCCCCAGACTCTTCTAACCCACACTGCACTGCAAGGTCTATTACTATCAGTAGGGAGAACTGGAGTGCTGAGCTAGCTGGAACAGGTGGGTTTGGTTTCCATTTGCTGAGCAAAGGGGAAATAAAACATGTCAAGATAAGCAAATTGCCTACTGTGTTTACTGATGGGTCTGGCTGGCAATGACTAATACAATCACTTTCCACATGAGCAGATTCAGGTTTAAAATGTAGCTTTAGTTACCTCTAAAATGAAAGGAATGATCAGAGTTCTATTACCACTTCCATTCACTTAGATCATTACCGTATCGATTTTCTCCTTTCCCTTCCCTGCTTTCCTTCAGACCCCAGCACTGTATGGGGAAAGGCACACTCAGCTCATGAGGCTGAGTTGAGGAGGAATGCTACCCTAAAGCATCCTGGGAAATGCCTGGCCAGAATTGAGACAGGGACCATGGGAACAAGCCCCAAGTGAAAAACATTATGCACTTGGGACGCTTTCTGTTGGTTGTTATTGTTACACTGTTTCTTTTACAGAGCAAAACTGGGATGCGCTCCATATACAAGCTGGATTTGAAACAGAGGACCCAGGCTCCCAAAAGCACGGAGGAGCTGTTTGAGTAGTCTGCCAATATCAACCAATCAGGATGAGTCTCCTCCAACCAATCAGGAAGAGGCCCTTACTTTTATTTTTTATTTTTTTCCTTTCCCTCATTAGTATATTGGTCTGGGTGGGAACTTGATAGGTAACTGTCTCTAAGCTGGGCCTCTCCTACGTTGGGGAGGCTAGACTTAACTATTCTCTGTTGGTGGTGTGTCACCCCTCTGCTCAAGGCCCAAATAAAGCCTTGCCTGTGCCTTTTTTTGCGGGGCGTCTGGCCTTGTTTCTGTTGTCCGGCTCAAATATCTGACTCCGGTAACAGAACAACTGTTGTCTGTTACTTCTTTGCTAAGTATCTCATCTTGCAAAACTGACAATTTTTTAATGAGTTCAGAGATTCAGTTATTGTACGCAACACCCCAAATACTCTGGTTAAAAATGTTTTTGTGGGGTAAGCTCCCTATAGACCCTACATAATGTCATCTGACTTTAACAACTAGGAAACATTATTTATTCAAGTGGCAGCTTGCTTACTGGACGACATTGATAGGAAATAGTTACATGCCTAAAGCTAGTATGGCTCTGCTAAAAGATTCTGCAAAATTTTAGTGTAATGATGAAGACCATTATGACATTCTTATTAAGTATACTATATATTTAAAAAATAAACCTGGTACATCCTATTCTTTTAAAACTGGCACTGAGACTATTCTTCCTCTAAAGTATTGTGAATCAGAGAGGTCTAGATAAGAATAAAAGCAATCTCTTAGTGGAGTAGCTTAGACCTCTCAAAGATGATATTTGTCATTCACATCAAGTCTGAGCAAGTATCTGAGCTAGTTTTATATGTCAAAACCACAAAGGAAGGCTTAGCAAGGACATTGTTTCTTGCTTTGCATGAGGCAGGCTGAGAAGATGTACATCATTTTGCTCATACACTGAACTCCCCTCCCTTTTTGTTCCTGCTTCTCTCCTGCTTGGAGTTGACTCCTCCTTCCTGCAGCTCCGAGGATCACAGGCTGATTGAAGAACACAGCGGTTCGAGGGGGAGCTGTGCTCAGTCTCTCTCTCTCTCTCTCTCTCTCTGTGTCTCTCTCTCCTTTTTGCTTGTGTGTGTCTCTCTCTGAACCCGCAAAGCTGAAACCTACCTGATAATCTTTTTGCCTTTGAATCCAGCTCTGGAACCAAATGCATCGCTTTACTGCTCTTAAAAAGTGAATAGAGTTTGATTACCTCAAGCTACAAGAAGGACATAAAAGGAGCCAGACATCATTGTTTTTCAATCTACCTGAGGAGCTTTTTGCTTTTATGCCAGAAACTTAATGGTTTCAGGAGGAAGTTTTTGGTTTGTTTTTAACTGGAATGTTGAAAAGTTTCTTATTGATGCTTTAAATGGAACCCAGTTTTTAAATATGGGTTGAGTCAGATCTAAAGGAGACATGCCTGATCATTTTCTGCTGGACTGACGGGGGAACATCTAGAGGGAAACTTGGTGGGAGAGAATGAGATCCGATTTGCAACCAACAATCATGCTTTATTTTGAGAATATTTACAGACTCACTGAAAGGGAAATTAAATATTAACCAAAGACAATGTCTGGATTTTCCAGTAACTTATCAACAAATGACTCTAGCGTGTGGAAAGAAAATAATAATTCGACGAACCTTTTAAATCCGCCAAGAACTTCAAATATCTATCTTTTTTGCCTGACATGCTTAATGACTCTTGCAGCCCTGGTGGGCAGCATTTATTCATTAGTTTCCCTGCTGAAAATGCAGAACAGAACCGTTGTGTCCATGCTTGTGGCTTCCTGGTCTGGGGATGATCTCATGAGTGTCCTGTCGGTGACCATCTTCATGTTTTTGCAGTGGCCAAAGGAGGACCCTGATTACTTTCAGTCTCTGTGTACCACCTCTGCCTTACTGTATTTATGCCAGGGCCTCTCAAGCAATTTGAAGGCGACTCTCCTAGTCTCCTACAACTTTTACTCGATGCACAGGGCTGTGGGGAGCCAGGCAGCCTCCAGAAGATCCGGCCAGGTGCTCGGCGTGGTGCTGACCGTATGGACAGCCAGTCTGCTGCTCTCCGCGCTCCCGCTGTGCGGCTGGGGCACCTTCGTGCGCACGCCTTGGGGTTGTCTGGCGGACTGCTCCAGCTCCTACGTGCTGCTCCTCTTCGTTGTGTACACTTTGGCTTTCGGACTCCTCGCCGGCCTCTCGGTTCCTCTCACTCACCAGTTATTGTGTTCGGAGGAGCCGCCGAGACTCCATGCCAACTACCAGGAAATTTCCCGCGGAGCTTCCACTCCTGGGACCCCTCCAAGCAGGGGGAGAGTGCTTTCCTTGTCCCCAGTTGATGCTCCCGGCCCTGCGCTTCGGTGTTCTGGGGGATGCTCTCTGAGCTCCGACACTGTATTTGGACCGGGTCCACCAGTGAGGGCACGGCCCGAGCAGACGCCGGAACACGAGGCTGCCGCTGTGGTTGGAGCCCGCAGGCGTGAGAACCGGGGGACTCTCTATGGCACCAGGAGCTTCACCGTGAGCGTAGCGCAGAAGCGCTTCTCTTTGATCCTAGCGCTGACAAAAGTCATCCTTTGGCTGCCCATGATGGTAAAAGTGCAGTTGCTCAAGCGCGCGGGTGTGTGTACCAGACAGTGTGAATGCGTGTTGGGACTAGCGTCCCTGGTTGGGAGAGTCCCCAAGAGACGCGCAGTTAAGTCCGCTTCCAACTGTGGCTCGCTCGGTTTTAGAGACGCACTTGGGAGGAAGGCAGCTCACGGGTAGAGCTGGTTGGCTGCGAAGCCTTTGCTACTAAGTGCTTCTCGTTTCAAAATTGGGGAGGGGGGCAGGGAGCGCTTTTGGACGCGGGAGACAGTTTTCCTAGATCTATCGTGGCCAAGGGTGTTCTTGTCTCTTGTAGCAATATCTGGGAATATTCAGAAAAGAAGGGAGGTAGTAAAAGGGTTTCCTAACCACCTCCCCCCCCCAATCCTCTGTCATCCCTTTCTCTCCACTCCATTTCTGTCGAGTAAGGACTCCGCCTATCTCAGCAGGGAGAGAGATTGGAGAGGCACGATCAGAAGTAGAAAGAGAAGAGAGGGGGCCAAATAGGCTTTTTGTTCAAGCCTTCAAGTGGGAGGCCAGTTTTGACTTGGGAAGGTGGCACCCTGCTGTGACAAGCAGGCTGGGGGCAGGGGCCAGGAGTCCAGGGATGTGACAAAGGCCATCTGGAGTACCAGGTGCAGGTTTCCAGTTTGCCTGCCTGTTTTCCTGGTAGCATCCCCAGCATTTTAAATTGTGCTTCCGAAAGAGACCTGAGGTGGCAGGGGGCACAGACCAGGCACCCAGGAGTGGAAACCACCCTGTGGTCTAAATCATCAGGGCTCATCCCAAGGGATCTCAGTGGTGCACCACCAAAACAGGGCTTCTGGCTCTCAGGCAGGAAGGGAGCCTGGAGAAGGTGGGGTGGGGCAGCATGCTTGGGGGAAAGCCTTCACAAAGTGGACAATTTTATCCTGGGATAGGTCTGAAGCTCTTTGCCTTTGCAGATCCACATGATGGTTCAGCACGTGGTGGGGTTTCAGAGCCCTCCCTTCGAGACACTCAGCTTTCTACTAACCCTGCTGGCCACCACTGTAACCCCAGTGTTTGTCTTGTCCAAACGCTGGACCCACTTGCCCTGTGGCTGCATCATCAACTGTAAGCAGAATGCATATACAGTGGCATCTGATGGGGAAAAACGTAAGTCCTTGACAGTGTGGAGGTTGGGAGCAATAAGCATACAAACACAGAAAAGTGGTCTGTTGAGAAGTTGTCTGAGTAGGGAATGACGAATCCAAGGACAAATATAAATGGTAAATAAAGGGAAGAAATTATAATGTGAAACAATTCTTAGCACAGTGTTGGGGTAAGTTTTAAAGGAGGCAGGTTTAAAACAACTCTGTGAAGTGCTTGTACATTGAATAATTATTTTGGGGAAGAAAGGGATAGACAGAATTTATTCAACACAGCATGAAGTCAAAAAGGCCCTTAGATGCTTAGATATCCACCTTAGTTCTTAGCCCAGAGTAGAACATAAATTCCCTTCCCAAGTCTACATAAGAAGCCTGCATCTGAAAAGAGATTAACTCTTTGAAGAGTTAAAACACATTATATCATAGCCCATTATTATTTTTTTTATTATGTTATGTTAATCACCATACATTACATCATTAGTTTTTTATGTAGTGTTCCGTGATTCATTGTTTGTGAGCCCATTATTATTTAATGGAGCAGAATTTTTATTATTTTCCTTCTTGTATACTTCCAGGGTTTTGGAAAGTTTTCAAAGTAGAGTGCCTGAAAACAGTTCAAAAACAAATTTTAAGGGGGGCCTGGCTGGCTCAGTTGGTAGAGCATGTGACTCTTGATCTCAGGGTCTTGAATTTGAGCTTCACATGGGGTGTAGAGATTACTTAAAAATAAAATCTTAAAAAAAAAAAGACAAGAGGAAAACAAATTTTAAGTGCATGCCTGTACTTTCAGAAAACACAAAAAACTCTCGTTTCAGGAAGGGAAAAGGTGGAGAATTTGTCCATCTATGTTTATGTATGAATATAGCCATCCTAGTTACATTAAACAGACAACAATAACAACAAAAAACTATATTCTAAAGAGTATACCTAGAATGGGAGTGGGGTCAATTATAAAACTCTCTAGAGTGTGATTGTTCCCATACTGACAGGAAAAGTTGAGGAATGACCTGTGTATTTTGACTCTACCAGGAAGAAAAAGGATATTAGTTTGTCATTCCAGACAAAAGATAGGATGTTCTACCATTTAATGTCTAAAAAGGCATTAGTGTATGCTGAATTAACTGTTTCATTAATTGTCCTTTGCTCAGAATAAGCAAGTATATTACTCTTCAATAGAGAAAAAAAGGTAAACAAAATAGTTCATCTCAGACTATTTCAGAAGTATAGAAACTGGAGAATATGAAAGTATATTCTGCAATCAATTCTACAACAGGGTTATTTTATAAACATCAATTAATCATGAACTCGTCATTTTCCATGTATTGATGACATTTAAAATTTAATATGTCTAGGTATTTTTCAAATGATCAGGAGAGTTCTTTAGTTTTAAGGATGCCATAAAGTTTTATTGTTAAAATTCATCTATGTCTTTAAAATAAAATAACCATGGAACTTATATAACAATTATGTGCTTCTGGAGATTTAATATCTAGAACAACAGTGACACAGAAAATTAATAATAAATCCTTTGAGCCACATAGAACATATATAAAAATCATTAACAAGCCTGGAAGTTCTAACATTCTATCAAATGTTAACATTTTGCCACTGAATTAGTGAGCCAGAATTGTCTTATAGTATTTAAGACTGTGAGAGAGACAATGAAAGTCCAATGTCAGAGAAAATGAAAAGTCTTAGTGAAGTGACATAGGGCAGTCATTTTTAAGAAGTAAAGGATACCTATTATCAGAGCTGAAAACAAAGCAATGCAACAGACCTATCACTGCAAATGGTCTAGGAAGTATTCTATCTTGTACTGCACAAGATGGAAGAGCCTACGGCAGGCTGACAGAATCAATAATTACAGTAATATCTCATGTTTGAAGTTAAAATCACACCTTTCAAGATCAAAATAATATTTTTCCTCTAAAATTACCATTGCTCTTATTTGTATTTAAAATCTCAGGGAAGAAATTCCCTGAAAAACATAGGTTTATAAAAAGAGGCATGGCTTCAAAAATCAAACATTGTGAGCAACGTTAGTTTAAAATGCCTGTAGTCCAAATGGCTCCATTCTCTTTTATGATCCCAGGTTCTGCCATAGGGAAATTCTGAGAACAAGAATGATATATTTTCACTGTCTGAGAGAGAACACATCCTATATTTTCCTATTGCTAGGATGACACGAGAACAGAATTTCAAAATCCCAAAAATGTTCATCCTCAGGTAGGCAAGTGCCTGATCAAGTGCCTTGATTCTTTGGGAATATGGCTTCAGTTTTACATTTAGGCTTTTTTTCTTTAACAAACTAAGATTCCCCCTTTTACATTCTTTGCAAGGGAACTCCAGAAACAAGGAAGCTTCCTAACTCATATCTGCCATAGGTTCATTTTGCAGATGTAAATATAATTCTACATCTCATTCTTAGTGAATGGAAATGGAGAGACATGCAATCAAAAGATGCATGTCAGTAATGGGAAATAAATTGCAGATTAATAATTCTCTCCTGTTTCCAACATTAACCTGTATTACTAGTGTCTCAAAACAAAAGTATTTAAAATAAATGATTTTAACACAGAGGTCTCAGGTGGAAGACATATGGGAAGGATATGGTTTTCACACTCATTTTGTTTGCATGACATGATGTTTTCTTTTTTAATTAAATAAACAGTTAAAATATTTTCAATAAAATCAGAAACTGTTTTTATTTTAAATAAAATCAAAGTATCTGCTAAGTGACGTATTACTCTGAAGAATTATTTATTTTTATAAGCTGATATAATTACTTATGTTTAAAATTGCAATTAGCAAGATGTGGTTAAAAGCAAAAGACTAAAGCTAATTCATGTTTCATCCAGGGTTTAGCTTTTCAGAACAAATACATTACATTTATTTATTTATTTATGTTTGCAAGTATAGTATAGACTTCAAAAGATCCCGACTGTATTCTGACAGTCTTTAAGTTTCTGGTAAGTTATTAGTCAAACATTGTCAATTGTTATATTGTTATAACCTATTATCTCCATTAGTTACCTCAGTCAGAATTTACTTTTAGCTCTCTCATGGGTCTAATTACCAGTAAACCAATTTCACATACAGATTAGCAACTCGAATTCTGGAATCAGTTGGCTTTTAAGTTCAAATCTCTTTACCAGTTAAGTAATCTTAAGTAGGTTTCCTCTACCAGCCTCAGTTTTCTCAACTGTAAAATAGAATCAATACGCCTTTTATTACGTAGGGTTGTTGCTATGTTAAATGACATGACTTATGTGCATAACTTAGCCCTGGAGTCCTCCTCTTCTCCATGATGTCCAACACAATTGCACTTCCTTCTCAGAGCCTACCTCAGACTACCTCTTGCACTTCATGACATGGAGGCAGATTCTCCATTGATAGTCTACACACTCCTTCAAAAACATTACTCACTTTCGCTTTACATATTTCATAATCATAATACACAGCTAATAAAATACATTGTCACAGACATCAATTTTATTGTGTTGTATGATAAAATTGGGATTTATGAGTTTTTGTTTGCTTACTGTCCTTGAATTGACAATTTGCCACTTTTTTAGTTCCTTCAGCTTTCACACCACTGAAGTAAGTTAAAAATCCCAACTTAATTTTACTGGACTACATTACTAGAAAAAGTAAATAGAACTATACATAAAAGTGTATAGAATATTAACATATGTTTCTACTTTTCCAATTTCTTTGGACAGAAATTCTTGTTTGTGTTCTGGCTCAAACAATGACTATTTTGGCTCAAATAATGAATGATACCTATAAATTCTATTTTCAGTCAGCAGAATTGCTTTGTAAATCTTCAGTTCTGGGAAAATTTCAGTAATAGAATCAGCATGTGAATGGCACTAGGATATATTGTAAAATGAATCAAATTTTATCTGTTGTTCCCATAGAAATTTTATAACTTTTCATAGATTTTTCCACCAAGGATAGCTAAATGTCTGGTATATGACATAGAGCTATCTGAGAAGAAAAATACTTTGAAATGAGCCATGTTTTGAAAGATGAAAACCAAAACATTAAATCGCATTTTGTCTATCACCTTGATGTAACTTCATTCTTAATATATAAAATAATCTAGTATTTAATGACATTCACACATAAAAATTATATCATTTTCTTTCACATTCTCACTTGTTATTCTACTAAGACTTTGTACCATATCTACCAACTAGTAGTACTATATTAGCATTACAGTAGCATTACATTTCACTTGGCTTAAACCATAAAAAGTTTTATGCATTCCTGCTAAATTCATCTTGTAATTAATCAGGTTTAGAGACATGCTATAAAGTGCTTTAGATCACAGAAATATAAATCTATTCACTATTTTTTACAATTCATTCCAAATTTATTTGTATCAGAAATGAATATGTTATTTTAAGAAGTTTGAAAACTATTGCAACATTTTCTAATTATTAATGTATGCATTTATAAACATAAATGTCAGGAGTGGCATACATCAAAATATTTAACACAGTCATAACTGTTGGTGATATTGTCAGCTGTCAGCTGAATAACTTATATAATATTAAAACCTTCTTAATAACTTCTAGCAAAATAAAATTTATAAACAATATCTTTTATCCCCAAATAAAGAAATGTACAGATAACTGGTAGACTGAAAAAGCTAAAACTAAAATGAATATATGTGAGAATTTTTGAATTTATGGTTAAATTTTTGTTCATTAAGCTGCTTAAAAGACTGCAGCGTTCTTGGAATTGTATGTATTTTAAGCCCCTCATTGTACAAGGGAGAAAAGTTAGGCCCAGAGTGATAAAACATCTTGAATTGATAAGGTATAATTGCTTTGCATAATTGACAGGAAATGAAGATAGTTTTTAAATTCTTAATAATCAGTTTGACTGCACTTTCCTATTTTTATTCACCATATATATCCAATTGTTGTTTATATCTACCTTCCTAACCATGGAACTTTGTTTTTACTTAGCCAAGAGGAGAGGCTTTGAATTCAGTCTATCATTCCAACGAAGTTATGGGATTTATAAAATAGCACGTGAAGATTACTATGATGATGATGAAAATTCTACATCCTATCACAATCTCATGAATTCTGAATATAAAACGACAAAGGACTCTCAGAGAGACACTTGTAATATCTTCAATTCCATAAAAGTGGAAATCAGCACCGCACCCTCTCGGGACAGTTCCATACTAAAAGGGATCAACAAATACACGAATACTGATATTACAGAGGCTAAGCAGGAGTGCCACAGTGAAAAGGGCGTTGATCCACTGCTTTCTGAAAGAACAGGAGATGATATTAACTATGAAGAAACCACCTTTTTGGAAGGGCCAGAAAGAAGACTTTCTCATGAGGAGAGTCAGAAACCAGACCTTTCAGACTGGGAATGGTGTAGAAGTAAATCAGAAAGAACCCCTCGTCAGGTACAGTAAAGGTTGTTCTTTCTGTGAAATTAAAAGTGAGACCAAATATGATAGGCATGAAAAAAATGATCAGATGTTTATTTCATTCAATCAAGTCCAAGGTTAATTTCACTTGCTTTGATTTATTTCCATAATATCAAATTTTATTTCAAGGTGTTCTTTGAGGGACTTTAAAATTTTTTAAGTTATACATTTTCATTCAAAATCTGCGTTTTGGGATTGACAGAGTTAAACAGGTTCTTTGAAAAGGCTGGAGCTTTCTAATTTAACGTCAAGTAATCTGTCTAAATTCAGACTAGACTCTCAGAAATTGTTTCAAATTAGTTAACTCGTAAGTTTTATTTTTCCCTCTCCCACCCAAAAAGTATTATTCCACACGTGCCCAAGGGAAGTTTTCTTTATAAAGGCAAATATTTATACAGCTAGTGGTGGGGAGGGTAGTCCTGCTGCAACTATACTAGACAGCTTGCCTATTAATCTTGCTAGAACTAGTCCCTCCAGTACTCAGCAGGAACAAAAAAGAGCTATTCCAGAATATACCCAAGTGAGCCTTTGTAAGCTCTGCTAAATGTCCTATCCTTTTTAAGGATAGAAGAATGGTTTTATGTTTTATAAAACTGAAAGAATTTGCACCTTAATTTTGTCCCATTTTCTCCTAGGTTCCAGCCTGCCTAGAATGATGAGGGATACTTCTTATTTTGTTGAAACTGTAGTGTAATATTGATGTGAGATTGTTCTTTACTCCAAACTCTCATATCTGGCTATTAAAATTGCCCTTGCTTCCCACACTACTGATTTACTAGGGAGAGGAGCCTTTTTCTGCAAGATTCAATGGAAATCAAAGTCCATTTGTCAAAACAAAAACATAATTCCAAAAATATGTGCAAGGAATAATGCATTCATTAATCAAAACATGACCACATATCACCAAATATGAATATGGGCAGAATACTTTGAGACCTCCTTTATTCTCAGTGATAATTAAAGCTACTAGTCTTACTCTAATATCACCATTTAAAAAGTAAGTTGGATAGGGGCGCCTGGGTGGCTCAGTCAGTTAAGTGTCTGCCTTTGGCTCAGGTCATGATCTGAGGGTCCTGGGATTGAGCCCCACCCAAAATGGTACCCCAGCTAAGAGGAAAATCCCTACAGTTTCATCATCAATTTATTCCTGAATAATCTAAACCTCCTGGTTTTCTTGCACTTAAAAATTGTTAGGTAATATTCATGACAAAATGGTGTGTGTGTGTGTGTGTGTGTGTCTATGTATGTATGCATCCCGATAACTTGCAACTACCTTGGTGTGCTATTTCTCTGTCCCATCCCCATGCTTACCCCTTAGGGATTACACCTATCCTGAATATTGCTCATGCTTTTTAATTGCTTTATCACAAGTGAGTGCATTTCTAACACAATATATTATTTAGTTTTGCTTATTTTGAACTTTTTAAAGATGGTGTCATACTGTACCTAATCTTCTGGGACTTGCTTTTTTCCGCACTCAACATTTTTTTAATGTATTTTGTCAAAACACTGGAAATTATCATCTAAAATATCACAACTTATAGCCCTCATTTAAAAGTTTGATTATAGTTTGGAAAGTATAATCAATTAACTACCCTAGAAACTTATGAAAGGATCAGACACTTTATACTGTATTATGAGCATAATCTATATATAGATTTTATAAATCAAAAAAGAAAATGATATATAGAAGGCACAAAATTTTGATCAATCCAAATCAAATACCAATTAATACCTTTCAACTACAAGGATTTGCTTAAGTATTAATATTTTAATATCTGTGAAGAACAAATAGTTCAGGAAATTGATCTAAAATGGTGCTTGTGAAAAAATCATTAGTAAAAAAATAGAGAACATTCGGGAAAGATAAAATTTCTATTTTCAGAGACTAACTGAAATTAAATGAAATACTATTATAAATTTTCAAACAGCAGTAAGAAATCCTTAAATTATAGGCTGACGTTATTGATATGACTTGCCTTTAGCAGAACTGCCTCCAAACTTGAAGTTTAACACGTAACCCAAATACATTTAGGGTTGAAAAGCTTATGAAAACTCTTCCATGACCAAAGACAGGTTTTCATCTGTAACCTATCCTTCACCAGCAGATATTTCATGGGAGTAGATGGTGACTTAGAAAGCACTTTCATTTCATCCTTTTCTCCCAAGTACCTTTTTTGCTCTGAAAGCAATGTTAACTTATGTATCCTAAAGTGATACATTAAACTGCAGTGGACACTACGGTAAGTTTATAAAAATACTATCTCTTCTGATTTTCTATGGTTGTACTGTCAAATATTTAGGCTCTATCTATCAGTTCATATTTAAGTGCCCTACAATTTATAGTGTGTATTCTTTGTTCTTAGGGTTAAAAAAAAGCAGGTTTGATTTAAAATAAATATAGTGAGCCTTATTTTGACAATACACGTTGCTTAATTTTTTATTAGAGTTTATGTTAGTAAACAAATTCTCAGTGTATTTTGTTGGAAATCCTGGAAGAAGTGAAAGCATCAGATCAAGGTTAAGGTGTAAAAAAGATGGTCATAGAATGGCTTCAGTAGGTTTAAATGTGTGATCCAATAAAATTTATCAGAGTTGCAAGTGGTTGTAAGACTGAAATTTAGTGTTAAACTTAACCACACAATTACTTCATTTTGGATCCCTAGTAGGTAGAATCCTAAGAAGTTCACTTTTAAAATATTCATAAAAAATAGAAATGTCAGCGCTCTTCAGTTACAAAGTTTTAATATGGTAGCCATAAGTGTGACTGTCCCTCAAATGAAATAAGGATTTTCCAGAACCTAAAAGTTTTGTCATCTATGAATAAAGAAAATTGGACTTATAAAATAATTTGGTGGCTTGTGGGTGATCACTCTAATTTTCTTTTCTAATATAAAGCCCATCAATGAATTCCATTTTCTTTTCTTTTAATGTGTTGTCTTAAAGCTCTAGAAACTCATTTGATATAATAAATCAGAAACAAAGATATGCTGTAACTATGCCACTTAATCCCTTTTATAATCCTATCATCAAAGCATCTGAAAGCTGAAAGGTCCTCCACCATGCCAGTAGAATACAGAAAAACAGAGTCTGAAACAATCCTCAAATGAGAGACCAAGCAGGGGAAAGTGATGACATTTGAATTAGCTACACAAACCACTTAGCATAAGGATGAATAAATAAACAAGAACTAACTTTAAAGTCACCTGAGCATCAAAGAAATTTTATTCTCATTTTAAGAAAAATGTTTTAACTATTTAAAAATAGTTTTACAAAGCAAAGTTGTGTTTGCTAGCAGAGTGAAGCAGCAACATTGGTTTCTATAGCTTTTAAATATTATTATTTCTTTAAATAATTTTCATTAAAAACTGTGGAAACCAAGTCAAACTAGATTATTTTGGGTTCTTTACATTAGAGCTTCTCAAATTTTACTGTACAAATAAGTCAAATGGAGATCTTGTTAAAAGGTAGATTGTGACTGAGTAAATCTGAGGTAGGCTCCAAGATTCTGCATTTCTGACAAACTCCTAGCTGACTCTGATGAAAATAAAAAGTCCCATCCCAGACCTAGAGTCAAAATCCCCAGTTGGTTCAAAAGCACATTAAAATTTAAGAAGTCCTGCATTAGCATCTAATCCCTAGGAGATAAATACCAGTTTAAAGGGCAGGGCAAATTAATTCCTTCCATTTAATATATGCCTTGTAAAATAAAATAAGGCTAGAAGAAAATACTCCAATACAATAGTCTCCCCTTATCTGTGGGGGATATGTTCCAAGACCCCCAGTGGATGCCTGAAACTGCAGATAGCACAGAACCCTACATATACTATGTTTTTTCCCCCAAACAAACATACCTAGATACAGTCTAATTTATAAATGAGGCACAGTAAAAGATTAATAATAATAACTGCAATGATAGTAATATACTGTAATAAAAGTTATGTGAATATGGTCATGCTCTCAGTTTCAAAATATCTTATTGTACTATACTCCCCCTTATTGTGATGATGTGAGATGATAAAATGTTATATGATGAGATGAAGTGAGGTGAGTGACATAGGCAGTGTGATGCAGCATTAGGCTACCACTGACCTTCTGATGCTATCTCAGGAGGATTATCTGCTTCTAGACCATGGTTGGCTGTGGGTAACTGAAACCACAGAAAAGTGATACCTGGATAAGTGAGGGAGCTACCTGTACATATTATCTCTTACCTCTCCTAAAAACAGTGCATCTTCTCTTTTCATTTTTAAAAAAGTAGACTATTAAAAATTAAATCAGGCATAAAATATTAGTGTTTCCTGTGACATTGTTAACTTAATAACTGTAAATGCTTAAACCTATTCTCTGAGTAATTTTTGACATTTTAACTGAAGTGACCATAGGAGAAAAATTCACTTATCACCTTCTATTTGTAGCCTGAAGGCAGTCATTCTAACACAAATGACTGTCTGGAGTATACATATTTTATATTTAGCTATATCTATTTGTTAGAGTGGTTAGTTCATTACTCATTGTTACACTGCTTTCTTTTTTTATAAACATTTATAACTTCTATTGTTTTGTGATTATAAAGTAATATAATTATTGTAGAAAATTTAGAAATTGTTGATACGCAAAGAAAAAACACCCAATTCAAACTACCCAAAGTTAACCACTATTTACATTTTATCATCTAAAACTTCAGGCTCTTTCCCATGCATATATTCTTATTTTTGACAAAAACAGGATCACATTGCATATACTCTTTTGGAATCCGCTTTTCTTTGTATAACAGTATAATTTCCACCTGCTTTAAATTGTTCAAGCACTTTCTGAGATTATCTGGTACAGTTTAGAATGGCTGTTTGGAGTGCAGCTGAAAACTCATCCATAAATGTAAATTTGTTCTCAAGTACTTAAAGTCTTGATAGTTGAAGCTAAGGGGGTTTCCTTGTAAACTACTTCAAATATTCCATAACAAATTTGTAATCCTC